ACCTTCAAGGCAACTAGACAATGCCCGTTCTCACTGCCGCTGGCATGCCTGTTGCTAAAACCTCACTTTGACCACGGCTGGCATCCTGGCTGGCCGTGTTCTCCCAAGTCAACTCTCTGTCCATCTATTCTCCGTTCCTCTGTGTACGCAATATGCTGTTCCAATACTTCTTTTCTTCTAAGTAATCGTGGCCTGAAGATCGCAGTTGCTGGGGTTTAATTTAACTTCCTGTGATAATACTACTCCTTCCACCTGATGTCCCACTTCTGTTCCCGGACGATACCAAACTTGAAGATCGCAGCGGATGGCGTCCCCCTGCTACCTTAAGGCATTGCGATAGACATGCTTTCTCCGGTCTGTTTTAGCACAGGCAACGTACGCTCTGGTCTGGCTTCTGACCAGTGGCAGCAACCCAGTGTTCTGTACAGCAGAAATCCCTAAGTCCTTGTTTTTCTCGTGTCTTTTGGCTAACCAAGATTCTGTCTGATGACGTTGGTAGCCGAGGCTCTCTGGCTCCGCCCCACACTAAAGGAATTTAGATCACTTGCTAAGCAGAAAGCTCACTCGGGAAACAAACATATCCTTCCTTGAGCCAATCTATCAAAGGTTCTTTCATTGGAAATATAAAAGCCCCTCAAAATGATTCTTGAGTCAGCATTTTCCGATCGGGGTCGTCGGACCGTCCGCCTCTTTTCCACGGCGCCGCTCGTAAGAATCTACTGCTGTGAAAGGAGTAGGAGGAAGATTTAAATAAATAAAAATGACAGACAAAATAAGGCTCGTTCAAAAAAAGAAAATGCAAAGAGCTCGGACAGAAATGAAGCAAAATGCGCGTGTGTCATTGCTGACTTCGGTCGCCTGGACCCATCAAGATCGCCTGCAAATCCTCCTCTTCAAGCAACGCTGCATTCCAGCCATCGCGCTGGGAGCTGTCTGATACTCTGAGATTGCGCAAAATCTTCAGCAGGGGACGATAAGACTGGCCGGCGTAGTGGTCATGGTTCTGTGGATCGGGCACGGGCACTTCAAAGTTGACTCCCATCAGTTCCGACCAGCGTAGCGCCCAGTGCTTCACTCGATCCACAAAGACCTCCTCACAGAGGATACTCAAGTCGCCTACAAAGTCACAGAAGGTCACCATCTTGCCCAACCATCCACAGAAGGCGGGCTTTTCAACAAACGCGCAACACCGCACCCCATTGAGGAGGTAGAGTTTCGATTTGGCCACTCGGCTCCACAGCACTTCCGGTCCACTGTGAATTGGCAAATTCACCGCATCCAGCACGTCCTGTAGAGTGGAAATTCTTGAATCACCGCCGGGAGCCCGAAGAAGAATAATCAGGACACCGTCTGGGGGACTGTGTGATGCCTTTTCGATGGGGTGAGGCAGCTTAAAGGAGAGGAGGTAGCAGGGCCCGGCGCTAGAATCCTCGTCCTCCTGCAAGCGCGAAGGCAACTCAAATTGCCAGGCCAGGTTCCCCGTCCCGAGGTCCGCACCCTTCTCAATTCGGGACTTTCTACAGGCATTGCTGACCACCTTCTTCATCTTAATACGCAGACAGCGCTGTATCTCCTTGTGGCCGTAGATCTCAAAGTAGTGCATGTAGGGAGGCGATTTGGTGAGATTACTGAAACCAAAGTGTTCGTAGAATTTGTCCAGCCGGAGGCCGTCCTTGAAGTACAGCTTCAAATACTTGGCTTGCTGGAATTGGGCTGCCTCACAGACGGCCTTTAACAAGCGCCGGCCCTGGCCCTTGCCGCGGTAGGCCTCTTGGATGAAAAAGTGGTCCAGTAGAAGACCATGGCCCCCGAATAGCATGTCAAATTCTGACATAAAGGAGGCATAACCGACCAGCTTGGGAGAAGCCTCGTGAGATGGATCGATGCAGGTCAACACGAGGATTTGCAGAAAGTCCTCCTTTTGAAGCTGCAGGAAGGTGGAAGGGGACATCTGCGTCTGGTCGCCTGGAACTCCATGGTATTCCAGTAGTTCGAGAGTTCTCTGATAGAGCTCGTCGCTATCTGACGGGCCTCCTACACGTATGGAAAACATGATTTATCTTCAAAGTTGTGCAAGACCAGGAACGCCTGGTTTCTCCCATTTACATGTTTGCTTTAACAGCCAGGTCGTATTTCAGGGCAGCGCATGCACCCAACATCATTCAAGGTGGCTCCCAGTATTGCACGACGTGAGATTTAAGGGGCGGATAATCAATGAATGTGAAAATCAATATCTTCAAGGTGGCGTCAGTCAGGCACGTGGGTTAAGGAATTGGCATGACGTCGCAGTGATAATCCACCATAAGCCTTCCTCTCTTTCTTGGAGGTTTTCTTCG